TGTACAATTTTAATATATTTCAATAATCCATTGTAGGGATAATAATTTAGAAATAGAAGAACTACCTCCTTAAATTGATTCCACGTACTAATGATCATATGCTTTGGAAAATCTTTTTATAGAAAATATTAAGTCACTGTAGTTGGCAAAATAATGGTCTATATGTTGATATTTCTCAGTTCCTATTAATAAATCTGCTTTATAATCTTTGCTAAAAGTATATTTTTCTTTCTCCTCTATTTTTCTGAATGGCCTCATTACAAATTCCAGCTTTTCAATACCACCAATTCTCATTTCAAATTCTACTCCTTTCTCCAAACCTGTTACTCAGTTTTATAAAATGTCTTCAGCTTTCTTTATAAAGTACAGGATGGGGCAAAAATAGGTTTATAGTTATTCATATGGAAATAATACAATCATTAATAAATAATAATACAAGAAATTCTGTGTTTCACGTACTCACAACTGTAAACACACTTTTCCCCCCACCCTATATGTACTAGGCCCTCTACATTCATGATCTAATTTAATAGTACCTATGGATAGATTTAAACATGAGGGAATTTAAGCTTAAATTAAGTAAACTGTTCAAGGTCACAAAGCTTAGGAAATCTAGTAAAGTCTGTACTATTTTGCTTTACATTTCAATACCACTTAGGTTAGCCCTGGCGAGTGTGGCTCCGGGGTTAGAGAGTCCGCACGCAGACCGAAGGGTGATGGGTTTGATTCCCGGTCAAGGGCACATACCTGGGTTGCACTGATGTCTCTCTCAGGTCGATGTCTCTCTCTCTTTCTCCGCCTCCTCCCTCCCTTTCACTCACTCTAAAAATCAATGGAAAAAATATATCCTTGGGTGAGGATTAAAAAAAAAAATACCACTTAGGTTTTAAATATTTTCACATAGGTTATCTACAGTTTAATCTCACTTAAATTCACAGTAACCTTGACAGGAAGGTTGCTAAGTATAAAAACCTTAATCCACACCCCCAACTTTACTTAAAAGAGCATGTAAATAAAGTGGCAAGGTTGAATGATGATCCTGACTTTTAGTTGAGTGCTATATCACTTGTTGTCTGTACAACCCACTTTTTCATTAAGTACAACTCATTCTCTTCCCTTCCTTTCACTTTCATCCAACTGTCCTGTGAAAATAAACTGGTCACTGTATTAATAAAGTCCATCTGAGGTTTATATCTACTGTATTGACCATGACTTGGATGGTTAGTAGCAATTTATATTTGAAAACGAGTAGCACACAACCCCAGAAGGAACTATGATCTGCAAGAACTTTGAAAGTAGTTTGAATTCCTTGTCCAGTTGTCAAACACTCATTCAATAAACAATTTACAGTGTACCTATCAGGTACATCAGCATCCTAGTGCTGAAGACACAACAGTAGAGACACTGTCCTTGAACTGCTAGGAGCTTTATGGTTTACTAAGAAACAGCCCAGAAAACAGTACTTAAATGTGCTAGAAGTGAAAACCACAGAACCAGGGCCCAGGCAGGGGAGGAGCCTGCAATCAAAGTATGTGCCCTTGACTAGAATTGGACCCGGGACCCTTTGGTCCACAGGTTGTCAGTGCAATCTATAAAGGCAATGAAATATTATACCTCAGAGTAAGCACAAAGAGGTATTAGGAACCCTAACACAAAAATCCTTGTGCGCCATTTAATATTGGACTATAGCACAATTCCCTAATACATGTTAAGATTTTTATATGTGCCAAACCAGTTTGGCTCAGTGGATAGAGCGTCAGCCTGTGGACTGAAGGGTCCCGGGTTCGATTCCAGTCGGGGGCATGTACCTTGGTTGCAGGCACATCCCCAGTGGGAGGTGTGCAGGAGGCAGCTGATCCATGTTTCTCTCCCATCGATGTTTCTAGCTCACTATCCCTCTCCCTTCCTCTCTGTAGAAAAATCAGTAAAATATATTTTTTTAAAAAAAGATTTTTATATATAATACTAATTAACTGATAAAGCTAGTCTAATGACTTCCAAGCTTCAAACTACCTGTTTGTATGAGTAAACTGTGTATTATATCAGAGGTCTTTTTCAACTTAAACTTTAATAGCAATTTAGTTAT